GGCTGACCGAGGACTTTCCACCCGGTAGCTGGTGGCGTGCCATCGTGTACATCAGAGATGGTGTGATGCGAGGCCGGTGATGAACGAGGTGGACGTTTTGGTTCGACGTGTGTAGTGTGTAGAGGTTTAGGTTTGCTCAAATATATGGCTCATAATAGACTCCATGTTGCTGCTGGCATGTTTTGCCGGTGCTTTGGATATCCCGGATGGATCTATCTCTTGCTATTTGGGTACACAATGCTGCAAGTAAAACGTGGAGACCCATGAAGATCAAGTCGGCAAGTCTAGAGATACAGTGGGATGGTTTCCCGACTCTTCTTCCAATGGTCTTCACTATCCATCTATCATCATCCCACCACTTTCGTCAACTTTCGCCTACACCGGCCGTCGCCGTACTTGGCCAATGTCACCACTGTCGCCACCAGCGGTTGATTGATGTTTGTTTCCCTTGACCTTAATGATGTGTAGGTTGTCCATGCTTGAAGGTGGATTGTTGTTCCTTTGGTTGTGGAATCATGGCGGTTTGTCTTTCCCATGACACATCTCTTTTGATAGTTTGAGGATGTTTGAGGTACTATACAGGGATGGCCAGAACCCTTTCAAAAGAGGAACACCATTGAGAGACAGTCAACACTGAGGAACTGGTTATGTTCCTGTTTGAACCCAGACACAGAGTCCAACACTGTGCAACTGCACCTGCCGTCAGCGTCAGGCACAGAATTCATCCAGTGGCAATCTTCGGGCTAGCTGTGCAAACAATCTCCATTCTATAGAATCCTGTTTGCAGGGGTTAGTCCCGTTGATAGGGGGTCGTACATGGCAGTTCTACTAAATAACGGCTTACTAGGCAGTAGTGCCGCAGTGCCCAAGTTATGTTCACACCAACCCTCCACGAGTTCTCCACACCAACCCCGACACCGCGGTTCGGTGGGACTCCTCGCTGCTCTGCTAGTGGAACAGAAGCACTCCACGACTCCCTTCGACTTGACGGACGACGTGAGCCGACAAAAAGCCACGACGCGCGTGAAGACCTACGCCGCGGGCGATCCTTGGCTTCCAGGTGTGGCAAGAACCGTCCAAAAACAATGATGAAACCCTGTTCATGTACAGTCTCCTTGTCTCCGCGGCAATCATTTGCCCGCAGAGTTTCTACAATCACATAGAAAACCACCTCAAAGAATGTATGTATATAGGCCCCTTGGACTGCTCTTTCAGACGCGTGGATTTTCACCACTAAAAAACCGATTGCGCTTCGCAGCTGAGGCGCTGCCGAAGCTGGTGGCGGCCGCGACGACGTCGACGTCGCTGCGGCAGAGGCGCAGCTGCTGCAGTTTGTTTGTTTCTTTGCTCATTTGTAGAATCGCAGAGCCCAGTTTGTGCCATAATAGTCTTAGTGCATTTTTCAGGATTTGTCCAATGGAGCTGGAAGCTCCAGGCTCAAGGAACTTCCAAAAGTCCACTTGAGTCACTTGAGTTTGGAGGATCCTTTAGACACCTCAGCGTGAAACTGTTTATTCGATGCTATTCGATGCTGGAGTTTTCCGATGGAACTCCGGGTCGGATAGCCACTTACTGTAAGAATTGTAGGGGGGGTCCCGATGACTTGTTGTTGTTAATGCACATGTAAATGTTTTAATCCTACGGCAGTTGATACAATACATGCACATTTGTTAAAACAGAACTACAAAAGAATGGTCGTGGATACAGGTGGGCACCCACCGTTTGAAGCTAGCAGCCTCCCAGTTTAAATTGGTCGTTTGTTGATTGTAAAAGATGGGCGCTAAATGAAGCTAATATGAACCACCAGCTCACTAGAAAGTCGATCTATGTGATTTTCAGAATATTTGAAGAGATAAAAAAAGGGTTGTTGTTCTTTTTGCCAGAACACCTTTGGCTTGTCACAACTTTGGCTTGGTAGAGGTATAGACCTGCGAGGCTGAAACTGCAAAAGTCCAACAGAAATGGAAAAATGTGTGATGTGTTATCGAAGTATTGCAGATTTCCCTGATTTTTCGAAGTTCGAAGGATGGACCGTCTGCAGGCGAGAAGGATAGTCTGCTGATCTCCCCTGTTGGGACCATGCTCACCCTCTCCCTGGACCGCTGCCAGGTCGGTCGATGAGCAGCCCGAGTCACCGGGCAGAACTGGCGTGGTGGTTTTTCGGTCGGTGATGTGGATGAATTGGCCAAAGTATTGGCCAACTATCAACATATATATGTCTAGATATTTGTTTTTTGAATCCACTATATTACTAATCTATATTCAATTTAATCCACTATAGTAATCCACTATATTGCTGTGAACTTTTGTGGATATGTTCAATATGTGCAGTTATACGGATATTTTACATACAGAAGAACACGGATCTATGTGTTGAAGGGCAGGGGTTGGGTTGATGGGCCCCTTGATGTTGCTATTTTGCCCTAGTTGTGGAAGGGAGCCAAGAAGCAAGACCGGATAAGAGCAACTAGCTTCAGTTCTACCGCCTGGAGCTAACATGGAAGTGGAAACCCCACCTCTTCGCAGAGGAAAATGGTCTTCCAATAAACTATTTTCCAATTCCATGTTGCTTCCAAGGAGTGTACCAACCATTTGGGAGGTATTTCTTCCCAGTTCCCGCAGTTCCCTCAACGCCGTGAACGCACATCATATGGAGCGTTTGTTTCGGGTTGGAGCCATCATCGCCTCCGGAACTGCGCTGAGCTGAGCTGAACGGCCTCAGCGTTCACCTCAGGAGCGTGGCTTCTTTGGTGAACATGGGCTTCAGCGAGGAGCAGGCAAAGGATGCCTTGGACATGTTCCGTGGAAATGTGGAGCGCGCCGCACCTCGGTCCAACCACTGTGGCGAGAGGTGATATGAGATGAGCTCAGAGATGAGCTGAGCATCACACACTGTCTGACAGTGTGATGATCAACATTCAATTGTCAAACCGGTTTCATGAAGATCATAAAGCACAACTTGAAACTTTCCATGGACCCTACCCCAGGTGAACACCAACATATTGCTCGGACACTCATTTTGGGACAGATTCCGGAATTTGGAGAAGGTTGTGGGTGCAGGCCAATGTCGTTTCTGTGCAAGTATGGGCTGGGCATAGAGCGGACAACAACTGAGAAACCTATGGCTAGGACGGCACTTGGAGGAGCTACGTCACGATGTTTCATTTTGGCAGGGAGGAGTGGACTTCTCCATGTTTATCAATCATTTTTTCTCAATCTTCCTGGTTTCTCCTTGTTTTCCTTTCACCTGTTTGAGGGTCGTTCCTTCTGTTGGTTGTACTCCTTTTGAACCAGCCTCGATATGGGCGCTTCTTGAGACCAAGAGGATCCGCCAGGCTGGACATCGGTGAAACAATAGCGCCAAGAGGGTTTCAGAGCCGTCCCCATCCACCTGGGCTAGTCAGACATATAGACAAGACTCGACCAGTTTCTTTGGAACGGTCGGTCTGATGAAAAAGACAAGCAAGTCACAAGAGTGATGCCTCAAAAGAGGCCATACTGATACTGCAAGACTTTGATTGAAATTCAGCCAGATCCAATAAACCCATGCAATTCCAGCCAGCTACTGCCATACTCGGCCAAAACATGAGGCCGAGTATTTGTCTTCAGCCTTTTCATCTGGAGAGGATCAGAAGCAGCCGGTTGGATTTCTATATTTGTTGCTTCGTTTGACTGATGCTGGCGCATTGCAGGTTCTGCGGGTTCTTTCGATTTCAGGTCAAGGCAGTGTGATTGAAGTCCTTCGGGTGGTAATTTGAGTCCCCGAAGAACGGGAAATGGTCCATTAAGGTCCCCAGCGGCTGCCTGGTGAATGTGTCCACGTGTCTCCACGTGCTTTGGTGCATGTCACATGAGCAAGAAGGCGCACTCCTGAAACATAGATCCACCACCCACCGAAGACTCCCGGGACGGTTCATTCCCGCAAAAAAACGACTTACTGTACTGTTTCAATAGAACAGTTAAAGTTTCAATACATGTGTCTCCCTGTTTGAGAAGGACATAGTATCATAGCTTTTGACCATGCGTCAGGACCCACTCGAGTGAGATCTATGAGAGCCTCTGAGAGCCTGCCTGTGATGCCAATGCCAATCTCATCCATGCGGTGCCATGCAGTGAGAACCATGGGTCAGACCCAACCACTAACCGCAGTGTCCATCAGTGTCCCAATGACCAGCCAATGGGTGTTTACATGGGTTGAGTCGGTTGAGTCTCATAATTTCATGATCATTGATAATCCATTGTGGCTGCGCTTCGTTTGCGTGAAAAAAGTGGTACACATGACTTTGCTCGCGAGTCGGTTGTGATCTCGAAGAATTTGGGTGCTGAGAATGCAATGGAATGCTCATGACAAGCATCCTCCACTTCACGAGACCAAAAGCCTTGCATACATTTCGTTTGTCCAAATAACGATCGGACGTGCAAGTTCGACCATGTGCAAGATCTTCAAAACGAAGAGCATCAACAAACTAATATAAGTTGGTTGTTGCTTGTTCTTTGATTTACTGTTCTATTTAAACACTCTGACGTTAGAACGCAGCATGCAGAGCAAAGAAGACGCTCAGCCCTGACCCACGGGCGGGCAACCCACCTGGGCTTCTTTGTGCAATCAAGGAAATCTGAAGGCTTTGATGGGTTCATGGCACTTGGATGCTTTATGAGGCCCTACCTTTTGAGTGGTTTATGGGTCATTTTTCGATCAAACGGCTCAAAGCCACCACAGCACCTGCGGCCCATGTTCCTTGACTGTTTGAGGAATCGCATCATGTCACACCGCTTTTGTTTTGGAAAGACGCTATAGTTATATCTAATTAAGCATCTAATTATGGATGGGGTAGAAGATGTTTAGAAAGCAATCATCAACCCAACACACATGTCATAACAGTACAATACCGAAGAGTTGTTTGAAATATCGTTTTTGATTCTGTAAGGTTCAAGATCCATCCGCCCGCTCCGCTATTTCTTCGGTTCCGGACTCTGGGACTGACCCAGCGAGACCACAGACCAGGCGACCGCCCCAACGCCTGAGCGGCCCAACCGAGGGAGTTCCTTGGAGGCGGAGAAAGGAAGAGGATTTTGACACGAATTCCACTGGTCATGTAGACTCGATGAATCAACGCCCCCATATGAAGGAGGAGGTTTACAATCCGTTTTTTACCAGGTGGTTTTACTAGTCATGAGTCGATCTACATTAGGTTGGATTTGCCAAAGTCAATGGAAGGTCGATTCACCATTCTTTGACGATGGCCGTCCCAACCTGTCACACATCGGGCCCAAATGCCTGTTCCGGAAGGTTGAGCCCGGTTCTGCCGATGGACCCTCCCTCCAAAACATGTTTTTCTCCGTTGGCAGAGGATTTCGCGCTGTTTCTAGGGGCCCTGCCATGGTTGGTTTCAGGGAGTGAGCGTGGGGGAAACATGACATGACTTGACCACGACGGCATCTCGAAGACTGGTGACCTTGGGAAAACGTACAAGTTCTGTAGAGCTTAAGGCTGCATATAGCTGGAGATAGTCCAAACAGATCAAACCGGAGTCCGAAGCCCTAGCCCGGGCAATCTTTACACGCAGTCAAGCAAAACATACAACGTTCCAGCAGTCACAACTCCATTCCTTAAATCTGAAACTGGGCCGTGCCATGCTAAAACGCCTCTGGGCTGTGCGCATGAGGTTTTCTTGGCTTGGGCGACTTCTTCGAAGGGCAGGGCACCTCAGAGGTGCAACGAGGTCGCCTAGGCCACCGAGGTAGTACGATGTGGGTATAGTTATATATGTCAGGATATATCATGACCATGGACTCCCCAAGAGCAAAGACTCCTTCTGATGTTTGAAGATCCACAGAGGGTTGCCATGGTCCACAGAGGTCCTTTTCTTCAGAAGGAGTCGGTCACCTGGCTGTGGCAGGACTTCAGGTCCTTGACATGGACAAAATATGTGGGAGCTCGTATCAGAGAGTTGAGGTTTCGATGGTCTTTCTTCTCCGAGCTGGGCCGTTCTTTGAGCTGTTTCCAGGTACTAGAGTGTTATGTTTTGTATTGTTTTTTTTTTTTTTTTCTGGCCGTCCGTTCCTTGAGAAGATCAACTTGGGGAAGATGTTTCCCGCCATTGTTAGGCTACTTGCATTCTGTTCTGACCCTACGACTCCCTGATGCAGAGCAGACACTGAGGGCCGTGATGCTATGGAGAGTTCAACTCTGGCCTTCCGAAGGACAGAAGATTATAGAAGCATGGACAACAACAGTTTAAGTATGTTTAAGTCAAGGTTCACCATGCTCAATTTTATGCCAGTTGTTTTTTTTCTTGGCATTGATATGTACATATATATATAGAGAGAGAGAGAGTTAATAAACCACTTGAAAAAGGCCGAACGCGGCGAACGCGTGGACTTCCTCCACAGAAAGCCACAGGTTTTTCTTTTCAACTCCTGGGTTCAGAAAGCCATCCATCGCTGGACTCGCCCATCGCCGGACTCCTCTTTTCTCCGACGCGAAACGACCGTCGCGACTCAGATCACCCTTGCTCGGAAGTGTGCCAATCTCAGAACATCTTGCACAGAACGCGCAGTGTTTTGGGGACGGTTGGGTGTTGTTTGGTGTGTTTGAATTCTTATTCACCCTTTTTTCTAGCCAAGCTACATCGGGATGGTCCAGCACATGCGTGCCACACGCGTTGGCACATTTCAAGCCCACGCGTCGGGGCCGAATGATTTTACAATCCTTTTATGGTACAGCTGGGCACCTTGGGGCACCCAAGAGGGTGGAGCTGATGGTAGGCTTTTCACAGCTGGCCAGTGAAGGACATGGATGGTGCAGTCTAATGTTACGGCTTTGAACATCTTGGGCGCACACCCAAGCCCATGCATACCCTTTGACCTTTGACGTATACCGTATATCGATGGAGAAGACTCAGGTTGCGATGATCAACTGAGTCGCGCATTAATCTTCGGGGAGGTGTGCCAGAAGGAGGTTCCCTCGAAGCAATTGGTTGGCGCAAGCATCCATCAAAGCTAGTCTTAGTCCTCCTATGGTGGGTCCAAGCAAACAGCATGGTAGGTGAGCATACCGTGGTAGAGTATTCAACTCGCTTTTTTTGCACATGCAGATCGGAACTGAGCGGAACTCTTCAAATGGGAGGATGAACATGTGCCAAGAAACGCACGTGGTGAACAAGTTTAGAGTAGATTGGAATTAATCTCGACTCAACAAGTATGAATAAGCCAACATCACCTCATTGACATTCCCCTTGGGAGACTTTGTTCATTCAGTTCTGAGCCAGTTCTCCAAGGAGGATCCATTTAGAGACCAAAAAGGCTCGCCCAGCGACGGAGTTGAGGCTCAGAGCAGGGGTTCTGTCCGGCGTCGACCGCCCACAGACGATTCGGTGTGGGAGCTGAGAGAGGCTGAGAGAGGCCAGTCAGTGTCAGTGCATCGCTATTATTCTTCTTGCATCCTACTAGCAAGAAGCTACTAGTGGTATAAGGATACTAAAGGAACACGGTTGATGGTGATTTAAGGTGATTTGTAGTTTGTATGAGATGATACCCTCCCTGAAAGAATCACGGAAGTGGATGGCAATTGCTGTGGGTCGTTTCTAAACAGTCTTCCGGGGCCATGTTCCAACTTTAACATCCTTCGGGGTGTACGTTTGGTCGAGCCCTCCATGCGACATAGGGGGCCACGAAGACAAAGATGAAGCGGCTCCGGGACTAGCAGCATTCCGGGGGGGACTCTCAGCCAACAACTTTCCCACAAAGCCATAGCTTCTGGAGTTAAAGCGCCCAGCCTGAGATACCCAGTCGATAAACAATTTGCAAGGTTCCTCAGACGTTCAACATGAGTCAGACGAGTTGTTGAAGAGATGAGTTGGATTGATGAGGTAGGTTGGATTGGTTTATAACTTTCCAGTTGATTTTCCAGTCGGGTCCGTTCTTGTAAGATCAACGATGGCCACGTTGCCATTGCCACGGCCAATAGAGTCCAAGCCGGTGTTGCTTCGTGGGATGACACCTAACTGGGACTTGGTGCATAGCCAAGGCTCGGCGATACCTCAAGTGCTGGAATCTGAGATGGTCGCAGACTTTCCGACTCACAACCCCCCCCCGCTCCGGCCTGCTCCGTGCTTAGAAAACGTCATATCAAGGGTGCTGAGGCACCTTTGCATGGGGCCTTCGCATTCATGAACATGCGCTGTTTCACCACGCCTTTCTCGGATGAATCGACGTGTCAGGAAACGCCGTTGAGTCCGTCCGGCGACGGACTCAAAGGGGAGAATGAGTAGAGCTGGTCGCGTCAACAGTTGGCTGGCTTAGAAATTTATAGTCGGCCAAGGCGAACCCGGCGAAGCCTTTCTTCACCCAGAGAGCAAGCCAGAGAGCAAGATACTAGAGTTTCATGTGGGTGAAGAGTAGCGAACAATACACCGCCACGTTTGCCTCCCTCCACCACTTACTTCAGAACACATGGTGACAGAACACATGTTGGAACAAATGTCGGAACATGTGTCAGAACACATGACCGAACGCATGCCATACTTGATGCCAGCCAGCAGAAATTTCAGAACTGATGTCAGAAAAAAAACAAAAACATATCAGAACACATGTGAAAACAAGCCTTACTTGAGGCCAGCACAAAATGTCAGAACTGATGTCGGAACGTTGAACCGCTTGTCAGACATGCTGCCCTATCACACCATGTCAGATTTCCAAGGCAGTGTCAGGCTTGATTTTTTACCAGCCGGGCGCAGCGTGCCACGCAGCGCCCAGCGTGAGTGTTTTCCTCGTTTCGGGGTCCTCGGCTTCGATCGGTGCCGAGGCGATGAGAATCAAAGCGTGATGAATTCCAAGGTGCCATGATCGCCCCAAACGGCTTCGATGGGGTTCCATTCACCAGTGCGAACTCCACCGCCTCAGGACATGTAGGGATGCAGTCTCATGTGGCAGGAGGGTGTTCAGTTTTGGTTTGGGCTTAATTTGTATCATTTGCGTCCTGCCTCAAACATGACAGAAGATGACAAAACACTTGGTTGCTATGTCAGTGGGATAGGTTGAATTTCTGAGTTTGGATGTAAAAATGCATATCTAGCTAAGCAGCACTCGCGGGGCCTTTGTTTTTCTTTCCCAGGGATTTGGTTTCGGTCTCATTGCGCAAGTGCATCCAAGGGACCTATGATGACTCGACCCTTTTCCTCCCAGTGGAATCCAGACACCCCTGCTGGCCGCCACTGGACAAATTGTAGACATTGCAAGCTGAGCCTCGAACCTCACGAGTTGTTGATACTATCCAGTCCACTACCTGCCAGGTGAGTCTCGCTGAAGCCTTGCTACACTTGAGGGGCCTTGGTCGGGGCCCAAAAGAAACGCTGTTTTTGGGGCAAGTTTGGGTGACACGTTTGGATGCCTGATGCTTTTTGGGTTTCTTGATTTGGTATATATGTGGCTCAGATGACTTGATTGCGCGTGCTGTATCTCACCAGATGGCACTTGCATCCCTACTTACAGTAGATTGTTTTCAGGTTTTGTGCGAACGGAGGTCCCTGGTACATTCAAGATTTCGAGCATCGCTGAATCACAACGTAGGGGGGGCCTGGGTGCTTTCTCAGCTTATGATGTTCATTGTGCACATTCTAAAAAGATACGGCTAAGACGATGCTGGGGTTTCAGCCAAGGTCACTTGTTGTTGGGTGACTGTTTTTTCGAAAGGGTGCTTAAGGGGTCGCCCAACCAAACCTTTGGGGCACTGCCAAGTTTGCAATTTCTGTTGGATAAGATTGGATAAGTTATGATCATGAATGTCAAAAAGGTCGGCAAGGCCGCATCCCAAGTGAGTTTAGGGCCCGATCCTTTCAAGTTTCACTCTTTGGATATCCCTTCTCCATTGCCCCGCCACCTTGAACGAATCACCCGTTCTTGGAGGCCTTCCAAGAGCTTGGCGCTTGGCGCTCCTCACCAACCGAGCGCATGCGCGAGGCTTGGACGTCCAGATCTCACAGGTCCTCTCCAAGCAACTGGGCCGGACTCACGTCCGAGGAGCGAGGAGCGAGGCACAACAGGTGAAGGGCGGGTGGCACAAGATGCTCCGCTGGGGACGGGTACCGAAAATCCGGCACGGCCCATATTCCAATTCTGTCTTTGTCGCATGAACGGACCATGTATAAATTATATAAGTTATATGTCTTTGTCGGGAGCCCTTTGGATAAGCTTAAGCCTTCTTTGAAGGAACGTTGTCTCATCCAGCTCAGCTGGAGATTCTGGCGCTTCCCTGTTTGTGGGACTATGCTCAGCCACGGGATTATGTAAAATGGCAGAACCTTTGACCAGGGTTTTCAGTGGTCGACCATTCTCGGTGCATTGGCTGCACGTTCCTGAAGAAGTTAACTGGAAACTGCGGGGTTCGGCCGCATGCAGGCTCATCACCTTGTGTGGCGGGGGGAGGAAGAGTCAACGTTGCCCTGTTCTGAGAACACTACTTCCGGCAATCGAGAAAGGAACAAGTAGAACGGGCCAACAATCGAATTGAAGAGTTGTTCATACCATGGGTGGTCTTCTTGAGATAGTCCTGGGGGCCAGTACAGTTCATTGAATCATATTGAATCATATTGGATCGATTTCACCAAGGCCATCATGTGTTGTCGTCGAAGCAAGTCCTTTCGAGTCGTCGACCGGCTCGAGGTTCCAAGACTTTGCTCAGAACCAGATCACCTTGTCCCAAATGGTGGACGCGGCTGGGGGCCTCGAACCGGTGACACATTGCCCGATGTCGATCTCGGGGGAGCAGGTGCCGGACTATCGACCCATCCAATGCATCCAATCGAACAAGCCATGATTCCGTGTGAAACCGATCGTTCCAACTGATCACCCATCCTTCGTCGATCCGGCAACCATCACACGCCCCACGTCGGAGCGGAGCGTCGATCCGGTTGCGCTTCACTCGCGTTGCACCGCAGGTGATCCAGGTCTTGGACCGTCCGGCCTTGCCCTTCGAAGAGGCAGTGCAATCGCCCAGCGTGCGGAGACCGAACACTAAGAAACGAGTGGGCGACGGTTCGAGTAGCGGGTGCAATGAGCGGCGAAGAAGCTGAAGGTGAAAAGATGTGAAAAGCGCCCTCCGGACGATGGTTCAGTGATGACACATGAGCCTGAAGAGATGTCAGATTTGGACGGCAGATCTTCAGTTGGGCCCAAGGAATCCAACCTGACCTGTTTGATGCCCTTGATGCCCTTCAACTGTTGCGTGTTGATTTTTGGGGTGTGGCTTTGAAGGTGAAAAGTGAAACGATGTGAAACGCCTCCGAGGCCATGTTGATTGACCTCCTGATGTATGAGGAGCCGAGACGTGGTCTTGTGTTGTGTTTGTTTCTCAGCCGTGGCCCTACCCAGGGCATCCGAGTGGCTGCAACAAAAGCCGTCCACTCGGTATAGGAGGGCAGGCCTCCCAGGGCAGGAGGCTTGTTGGGATACAAGCGGGGTATTCCCTGAACTCTTCTTAGTGTGAAGTTTCGACCACCAGTTCATGAGCGCATGTCATGAATGCTCGCCATCCCTTACGGATCAGGTGCGCACAGAGCCTCGCTTTTCACTTTAGCTTGCGCTGGAAAACATGCTGCGCTGTTTGTCCGGCTTTGTGTAGTGGATTTTGCACCCACTGCATTCAGACTTAGGTGGTGGATGTTGGGGTACATTTGTGCTGTACTGAGTGGTATCGACCACAGTGCATCAGTGCATCCTACTTTTGACAGGCAGCGCTTGGTAGAAGGCTATGAGAATCTCAGTAAAATAAGATGATAATCACGTCAGTCAGCGTCAGCAATCAAACTGCTTTTTAGACTCTTCACATTTGTTCACTTTAATGATGCTGTCCGTGTGATATGGTCATTTTTGGTCCTTATCATCGACCGTCATGTTCAATCCATCCAGGAGCCCGAGCTTTTCCCTCTAGCGCTCGAACTGCTTTGCAACCATTGCTCCAGCTGCTTGGACGTCGTTTTCAACTCTTCGGAACGAGCGAAGCGAAGTGGTTCACGTTTCGGCTTAGGAACCCTAAGAACCAGCTTTCTGGCAGCCTGTGGGCATGGTCAAGAAGGGCCCCTATGGGCCCCTGAATTTTGGCTCAAAAGCGCACCTCATGCAAGAACATCCAAGAAGATGCTTACAGGATCTTGCAAGCTTGAGCGATTGCCTCACGTGGTCCGGATTCCTTTTCGCGTGCATCGGTTGACCGCGGACACCCGGGCGGCTCGCTGAGGCGATTTCATGGATGAGCTGTTGAAGGCCACTGCGTCGCAGGTTTTCTTTTCTTGCATGTCACCACGGTGGGGGAATCCAGGGGGATGAATCCAGCTCGTGCAAGACGGTTAGCATTGACATCTTGTCCAAAACCGTTACATCTCCAAGCTCGTCCAGAACCGTGAGAATTCCTCGCGGTGATGGAGAACCTCGCGACAGAACATTGGCAAAACCATGGAAAACCAAGAGATAAAATGAGGCAAAAGAAGTCCGCACCAATGTGCAGTATCATCGAACCATATCGAACCCTTCATGAGCCTCATACCGAAGATCTTTGATCAGTGGAGGTGTTGTGGCAAGATTGAAGTCTCCAAGGGCTCGCATCCTTTTGTGTTCCTCTTCTAGTGAAGTTTCCAATACTGTAGTTTCCATGTCCCACCAGAATGGTCCCGCTTCTGTGGTCACCTTGTACTAAGACCGGAGGACCGAGAACAACCACAGCCCCAAGCAACTACAGCATCGCCGCGATGACCATGTCCACATATATGACCACCGTAGGACTATAAGTGCTGGAACGTTTTGGAGTTGCCAAGTCTGAGGCTCGAGAGAAACCGACAACTGATTGATCAATTCAACTTTGGATAGCGCAATGTAGCGCAAAGATCTTCCAAGAGGACAAGATGAGGGCAAGAGGTTACCAGATAAAGCACAACAAAGACCTGACAACAACCTCTTGTCCTCATTTGATCACCACTTGTTTCCAGGTTACAGGCTGCATGACAAAGGCTGCAAGCTTTGTCGTTGGCTCCGCGACTCCGACACGGTCCGTCCCCGTTCGGTGGTGAAGGTGACGCTGCTGACCGAGCAACAGGACGCCTTGATGCCTGGGACGCCCGAGATTTGGCGTCGGGGGAAGGTGTGGAGAGGCCGGCCTGTGCGATGCCAAGGAAGTGATTGTGCGAGCCCAACAAAAGCCGCCAATCAAGAAACAGCTTCTGAGTCATGAGGAAACGACTTGTTGCTTCGCATGGGTGTGCTGGGGGTAAATAAACCAAAAAGCTACATCCTCACTTTCCAAGACGGGTTTCATGGTGGAGCGTCCACCAAAAAAAGTCGATCCACTCGAGTCACTCGAGCGTCAATTTTAAACCCAAGCAGATGGAGTGGGAGCCCAAGGACAAACAGAGAGGGAGATGCCAAGTGGCAGCTTTGTCAGAGCATTGTTCAATGTTCAGGGTCTCGGTCTCAGCTTCTCCGTGACGTCAACGTTCATAGCATTTGCACGACCCCTGCTCGCCGGGAAAAGCTCTCATACCATTTGCATCAAGTTCCACACATGCATGCACAACAACTTCTGCTCCATAAGGCAGCAGCTGAAGTCAGATGTGGCGCAGATGAGCAAAATCCTGTACAGCTTTGAGAACTGGGGAAGCCAGGACTGATCCACACAGTGCCATGCGAAGCGGTCCTGGGGCGGTCCTTTTTCTAGGCCTTGCTAAGCATATTGGTGATTCTTTCTGGCAAGCGGGCTCCCAGATCCAGCTCCATATCCTGAAGCCCGATTTGAAATCAGCTTGGTGACAGCGATTGTGGTTTCTATTGAGTCCCGGTCAGTCTGCGGGAGCTTCCTTTTTGAGACGCAACTAATCAATATATAAACTCGCCGAACAGAGCCAACAACATGCAAACAGATGAGGGGACATGAACTCCCTGTGGCTCATCATATATAAGGGTTCCAGGGTTTGTGGGTTTTGACGCCATGTGGCTTTCCTTTGTCGCCAGGATCACTACGCGCCGCGCGACACGGAGCCGTTGAATGAAATCGAAGAGATTGGTGAAACACTCAGTGCCAGTGATCCACAAGGTTCGCTACTAGTAACAAGTGCATAGCTTCTAGGAGCAAGTGCCTTACTAGTAGTAACAAGAAGCTATTAGAAACAATAAGCTTCTAGTAACAAGTGCATCGCTTCTAGT